CCCATTTTGTTTATTTCTTCTCCCGCTATATTTTATTTTATCTTATTTCTTATTTTTTGACTTTTGTCTGAATGGTTGTATTACTCCAAAACATTGTGTATATGCTAGAAATAATTATTTTGGTGTACACTGATCAAGTCGTTGTAGGGCTTTGATAATTTTTTTTTGTAACTATGCCTTATCAACTTTGTTAATTGATTGATTTATATCTATTTAGAATTAATCTGCTGTGTTGCCAAATGGGTTTGAAGTAGGCTATATAGAATAGGATCCCTCTTAATATAGAAGCAATTTAATTCAATACAAACCTCGTTCAAACTACAAGCTAAATCGATATACGTGGGATGCGTTGGTGGAGGAAATGTATGGAAGGCATTGATGACGTCTGTACTGAACTTCGTCGAGTCGAGTCCATTCTGGTTGGAGCAAGGCAAGTCATTTAATGAATACATCAACATCCTCAACAATTGCTTGGTCGCAACTTTTAAGCACTCCTTGTCTTCTTTACACTCCTGTTAAATATATAGTGAGAATATCATTGAAAAGGTCCTTTTTTTTATAGAATAGGGGCGGGAATTGGGGGGGGTGAGTAAGTATAAGATAGATACTAATTCAGTTTTATAACTTTCTTCAATAAAATATTATTCAGTGACAATTTAATGCGGGGCGCAGAGGGCGGTGAAGTAGAGAGCACAGCCGGCCCGAGTGTGAACAGGGGTGGCGCCAGGATTTGCCCGACGGGGGGGAGGGGGTGGCGAGGTCCCCGACGAGGGGTCAGATTTCCCCGATGAAAGCAAAGTGGGCGTGGTCGAGCTTCGATGAAAAGTGTTCCTAGGGGCTAAGCCCCCGAAAATTTTGACAATTTAAGGGTTTCAAAGGCTTATTTAATCGATTTTATAGTCTACTAATTATGTAGAAAATACATATAATTTTTTTTCTCCCCGACGAATTGTGCTTTTTCTCCCCGACGGGGGGGGGGAGCTTCCCTGACCGGGGGGGGGGTACAGCAGCTCTCCACGACGTGGCCATGTCCCCCTCGCCCCGCTGGCGGTACCCCTGCTCGCCGAGCGACGAAGGATGAATAGAGAACATAAATTGAATGTATTTGCAACATGTCAATGGCATTTTATTAAATATTGAACAGCATTCTTATTATAGGCATCTCTATGGTAGCGCCAGAGTAATATGACAGGCTGTGTTGCCGTCAAGAGTTTGGCTTTCAGGAACCGTAACTTATAACAAAGATCGTATAGTTCTTTAAGTGGAACGCGAAACGGAAGAGCGTATAATGGGAATTTCCTCGACTACTGTCAGCGGATTGGCTCTCAAACGAGACAACGAAAGCTCTATTGTTTTAAAAATTTTGTCGTTTTTTTCCCCTTTCTAATATTTATCAAAAAGTGGGACAATTTTAAGATGTCCTGGTTCTGGTGGGTACATAGGCCCCGAAAAATGGCCCTGGTAAAAATCTCCCCCTCCCCTACGGGTAAAAATAGTAATAAAACTTTTTTTTAATCTTCCAACTATATATTATTTTTGCAGTAAATACAAACAATTAATAAAAATGTTCATAGTTTAAATAAAAGTAAATAATAAATATTTCGTTTAATTGCAAAGTTTACGGTACATATCAAATTCAGTAGTAGGCTTCTAATGTAAATAATTGTTGTTTTTAAATAAATGATTTAATCAATTAACATATCATGTTTGTTTTTTAAATTAAATAATTTAATAAATATAATTTAATCAAAATAGTGTATATTTTCTTTTAACAAATTAATGATTATGAATGATCATAATCATGTCGAATATGTAATTAAAAAAGAAAATCGTCTTATCGGTTATATAAAATCAATTATCAATAATCTAAATAATTTCAATAGAGTATACTATGGTAACATCCTGTGGCGAACGATCGCACTTCCATTTATCAATTACGCAAGTGCGGTGTGAGTAAACGGAAGCAAAAGTGATCTTGAAAAAATTGAAAGGCTGCAAATGCAAATGGCGAGGTGTATTCTACAGGCTCCAAGAAACACACCCCGTTCTACCCTTTACGGAGACCTCGGATGGTCCCCCATCATCGACTCCCAGAACATCTTCAGACTAAACTATATCGATCGTATTATGAAAATGGAAGAAGATCGTTGGCCAAAGCTGTTACTTAAAGCCCTAACTGCATCTGAAAATATCAATAACTTGAGTTATAAATTACTTGGTTGTGTCGATAGTATATTTCAGAAATGTAACATTCAGAGTATTTTCCATTATATTAAAAATAATCGAAATATACCCAATCCTATATGGGCAGCTGAAATAAAACATGCTCTAAAACAAAATTCGTTAAATTGCTGGAAGGATGATATTAAAAGCAAACCTTCTATTGTAAAATATTCATTAATTAAAACGTCACGAAGTATGGAGGAGTACCTTCTTGACGGTACTGATTTTGAAGAAGCATCAATAAAATTTAAGCTCCGTTCAAATACCCTCCCTCTCCAACAGCGAACTAAAAATGGTCTAATGATCAGAGTGACACTGGATTTTGTAAGGTGTGCAATGATAATTCCATTGAAGACATTGATCATTTTCTGCTTGTATGTCCAATTCTTGAAAACATTAGAAGGATGGAAATATTACACTTTAAAAATAATCTCCAATCACTAAACT